TTCTTTTCTCCAAAATATAAAAATCGTATATGATTGCTTTCATTTCTTCAATTTGGCCTGCAGTCACTTTATCCACAACAGGTGATTTTCGTTGCCGCTTTTTAGACGGGGATGAAAATGAAAAGTTGCTTGAATATACTCCATCTCTGCTCTCTTTAGCTATTTTTTGATAAGTACATTTACTTATACCCGTGGCAGCTAACACACGTTTCCTAAACGGGTTAATCAGTTTTATTTGACAATAATTATAAAAATCTTTTACATTCATACATACCGGTATTGTTGAAGTGGAAACTTTAATCCCTCTACACTTTCCTGTACCATGAAGTTATTGACATTGTTGATAATTTAATTTCCTTGACTCCCAATCGCCTTTCCTTTCACGCCAATCTCTTTCACAGACATTGTTTAGATCACTGGTTTAAAACTATTAATAATTTAAATTTGAACAATAGTAAAAATTTCCACTATATTGCAATCTATTTGACAATTTTTACATACGGTGCCTTGTTCAAATTAGTTTACAAACTGAACTTATGACTAACGGACAGGTTTATATATCTGTTGCAGGTAAAATAAATGTGATTAATTAACATTCATCGTCTTAACGCTACTTACGAACGAAGGGATTTAGCAACCGGGAATTATTCCAGGTAGTTCAATTTTACACTTGTTATTATTAGATTTGTTTCTACTAATTTTGTTTACCTACGTTTGATATTGGTATTAGCCTATTTATCTAAGTACTAATGATGCACTCTAGGAAATCTCATGATTGTTATAGATATAAGCGGATCACAGTCTTAGGATTAATTTAATTACTTTCAGTTGTTTGCCAACTTTGGGGTTTTACCCTTCAATATTGTGTCTATTATATGTAGGTACCTGCTCACTATTTTATGTTGATTTATGGATCTCCATCAAATATCCACAAACCCCATAAGATTAATAATTTTCAACACAATCAAATATAAAATATGATATGGTTAATAAATAAAAAAATAAATAAATCGAACAAACGTCACATCAGATCGCAATTGTGTCAACAATCTCAACTGACTGAAACTTGCGTATCTACATACTAAAAAACGTTCCGCCTATGGCTTACTGAGAGTGGGATGTCCCTTAACAGCGTCAACAGCAACATCATTTCTGGACATTGAAGACCACATACATTTTTAAGCTTTCTACGATATAAATATTCGCCACGATTAGAACTGGACCACATTAAGAGGGCGGTAACAGATGTCCATAAATCTTACCAGTGACTGTCACAACAATTTCCTATATTCTTATAGGGTACAATCGACGCAAGGGAGAGGGTATAAAGTGATGACGTAGCGGGCATAACCTTAGGCTGTTCGAACTCTACCACACGACCCTTGTAAACATAATTGTGTTTATTGACATGAATAAACGAATTAGAATTTGAGTTCTTGAATTTATTTTAGGAAAGATATAAAATTATTTGAATATCTACATTTTTTCTTAGTCGGAACGCACCGTCGCGTCGCTTGGACTAGCACGACGAAACAGTAGATGAATTTCGCCCAAAAACCGATTTGCGATTCACAGCTTATTTTTTTTTTTTTGTTATTTCCATATGAAACTCTTGCAGCGTGCTAAAAACAAAGTCACAGGGTGCCAGCGATCCACTTTTTCGATTTTATCCACTAGGATCTTTTTGAAATATCAAGAAGTTGAGCACAAATAGTGAGCATTTCAACCCACCATAATTCTTGCGCAAAGACAAAATTTTGTAAAAAGCTCTGATAGCACCCTAGGCCTGCTTATATCCAGAAATACATCACAAACTGCAGAACACAAAAGGTAACGGCGAAATGGGTATATTTCAGGGGTTATGAAATTCAAATGAAAATGCAAGTATAAAATCTACCAAATGATCGTTCTCAAAAACATATTTCCTTGACATATCGATAATTTTAAAGTTCCAGTTCCCGGAGTGATATCCGAATTTATTCTTCCCTACTGTCGGTAGTTGCAGATCTGTTAGCTGTTGGTGTCAAACCTATAGAGCAGGTACCGATTTTTTGAAATCGTGAGCACATTATTAGTCGGATTTTCGATACTTAAATTTCCTTTAATCACTGGGATCAGAAGCTACTTAGTAATAGAACGTGTTTCACTGATTTCAACCCCCCCCCCCTTTTTAATCAGTACAATTTTTTATGTCAATGATTAGGAAACCCTGAAACGTCAAAAACGGAGTTTCAGCAATTGCTACTTTTTCTTTTTTGCCTATAGGACCGTTGCCACTGAACTAAAACTACAAAGCTTTGGCATACTAGTAACCACGTGTGGAAATTTCATAAAAATCCGAGCGATAATTTCCAAGTTGATGATGAGTGATACAGTTTTTCTTGATGTAGATGTCATATGACTTAAAAAAACATAACATCTTATTTTAGAAATTTTTCGCGATTACAATACTTCCTCGCCAATGACGTGGGAAGTAAAACGGCTTTAAAATCGAGGAGTATCAGCGATCGCGATTATGAGTACCTATTTGCAGAACGACTTATCTACGCGATATTATATGAAATAGGGCCACCAAATTATCTGAATACGACTTTTCTTAGTCCGTACATTGCGCCGCAACGCTTGGTTTGGCAGCACGAGACAGTAGACAAAATTCGTCCAAAATACGATTTGTAGAGGTTTGCGCGCTTCGAAATTAACGCATTATTTTTTGATATTTTTAGATGAAATTTTCACAGAGTGCTGAAAACAAAACCCCACAGGGTGCTACAGAGCCACTTTTTCATTTTTTTCACTAGGTTCTTTTTAAAAAAAATCGCGAAGTTGAACAGAAAAAGTGCGCAATTCAATCCATCATAAAAACAAAATTTCAAAAAGTGCTCCTATAGCACCCTGGGCAATTATCTTCTCAACATACTATATGAATTTCATTCAAAAATATTGAAAAATGGAGTGTCAGTTTTGAAGCAGCTGAACCCTTGTAAATGGCTTGAAACTCACTGCGTCGGAGCAGCCTTAATAATATAATTATTTTTTCACAGCTATTACTACTGTCTCTTTGCAGTTAATAAATAGACTAGGGATTACTCTAACCAGTTAACAGTAAATTTTGTTTTCAGCTATAAGCAGCCTTTATTTCCAGAAAACACCTAGATAAGGAATCACTTAACTAGTTAAGATTATTTTTCAGCTAGTATCTAATTTCAGCGAATATTTGGACAATGAATTATTCTGACCACAGCTTTAATTAATTATTTTCAGGAAATTTAGATAAGAAATCGTTTTCAGGAACAAGTTAATATCAATTTTGTCCACAGCTTTAACCACCATTTCTTTCAGAGTGAATTTAGTTGATCAACCAATTCTTTTAGAAATAAGTTCTTACTTGCAGCTGTAATAAGTGATTTAAGCCTTAGTTATTAGTTTTAACTAAATAATTTTCCTCGGCGTATTTCGAGAGTCGTTTTAATTCTTTCGGCTATAGATAAGGATAATTAGTCATTGGAATAGTTATTACTGATGTATTTTAGCTTTTATTATCAATCAAGATTTGCAGTCTAGTTCTGACATATCTAGTGCTCACAATCTAAAACTAAATCCTGGCAAATCATGCTGCATTTTATTTGGGCCCAAAAAGAATCGTGAAATAAATCAATATCGCATTAATATTATGGCGAATAATGAAGACATATCCTTCGTAAACGAATGCAAAAACCTCGGTATCTGGTTTGACTGCAAGCTACGCTTCACTAAACATGTTAACCAACTATGCAATGCGTCCTATAATGTGCTTCGTCAGTTATACCCGAGTCGAAGTGTCCTGTCGACACAGCTCAAGCTTAAACTCTGCGAGTCCCTTATCCTGTCAAAATTATCTTACGGTGACTGTGTTTATGGACCTGCTCTTTTACAACGTGATGCCGAGCGGATTCAGATGATACAAAACTCATGCATCAGATTTTCTTATGGAATCCGTAAATTTGATCATATTAGTAGCGCTTTTGACCAATCGGGATGGCTTAAGATGAACAAATTGAGGAAACTGCATTGCCTATCTCTGGTACATAAGACCCTTATCCTTAAAGCGCCATATTATCTTTATACAAAACTAAGCCTCCTCTGCCAGTACGATCAAAGATCCTCTAGGAATAAACTCATCTTACTTATCCCGCGGCATTCGACAGCATTGTTCACACGCAGTTTCTCGTACTGGGCACCCAAACTATATAACTGCTTATCAAGTGAGTATAAAGAATATAGCCTAAGCAATTTTAAAAAAAGGTTAAAGATGAGTTTAAGCAGTCGGATGTCTAAAAAAATTTTACTCTATGCATATCCACAGGTAATTGATTGTTTATTTTCTCTGATAAGTGTTATATTCTAAGTTTTTTTTTTCTCTCTCTCTATAGTTTGTGTCAATGTTTTCCAGGTCAGGTTGAAAAACAGCATAAGCTGAAACTCCACCTTTTCGTCACTGTTCCTTTTAAACCAATTATTTTGTAATCGTGTGACGAATAAAGGCCATTTATTATTATTATTATTATTATTATCCACATTGAAGAATAGGGTGAACTTACCTAGCCTGAGCCAGAACAAAAGGAAGAGAAAAATAACTTGTTAAATTTAGGTTTAATTAGGTTATCATACTGTAATACTAGGAAGGAGCCAGGACCTGTTCGGTAACTTTATAAATTGTTCTGTGTTAGCATTTTATAGTTTCCAGTCCCAACCACGGAAAGCGGAGGAGCGTTTCGAGTTTCTTTTGATAGTTTTGTCACTAGTATAGGTTGATTGAAAAAAAAAAAAGAAATTGGTAGTCATTCCATCATGTCGTACTTACTTGCATATAACGAGCGATTAGTGCTCCTTCCTGGGAGTTAGGATTAGAAAATAAGAGAAACATAAGGGAGCTGCTTAGATAATCGGAGTTAAGGCAAATCATTAAGGAAAAGAAACATATAGGTCGGTGTTAGCAGATATCAAACAAATCGAGAGCCAGGATGATAACCACGGCAGAAAACGTAGACTACCATGCAGTGACTGAAACAACGACAGCTACCAGTGTCTCGGATCCTGCGACGACACCGGCGATAACGCAATCCTTGACAACTCCAGGAGTCACCACTGGAGCAGCCGGAACTTCGGAAACTAGCACGGCTGGAACCAGCGCCGCGATGAAGTCAGACGCAGTAATTGATCAGCTAACTGACTTGAACTATTATTTGAAAAAGGTAGCCATTGGTGAGAACAACGACATGTCGCAGATTGAGAACTACGCTGGAGGACCCGACTTTGAGATGTTCCTGGACGCAGTGGAGAACGTTGGAATACTGAACGGTTGGAACGAAAGCCAAGTGATAAGGGCCATAGAGCTTAAACTACAATCTAAAGCTAGGGAATGCTATGATGCGCTACTGCCAAGCGAGCGACCACGGACCATGTATCAGATGAGGGAATGGTTCAGGAAGGTGTTCGGAGTTAGGGTGACCGTCACAGCTGGGAAACAGGAACTGGAACGCTGTATTAGGAATCCCGGTGAAACACTATGAGAATACGCGCGAAGGTGAAAAATAATGTCCAACAAGATGTTTCCAGCGAACGAGACTTCAACACCTGGGAAGTTGTACCATCGAAATCTTCTGGTAAACCAATTTCTAGAGGGAATTGATAGCCGGCTAGAAAACGGGATTCTGCGCCATGGTGAGTTTTACAATCTGGAAGACTGCCTGGACGTGGCATACGACTGTGAGGAAATTGTCTCGCGGATGGTGAACTCCACACGCTATGATGAACGGATGCTGTTCATCAACAGGATAGAATCTCGTGATGTCGAGCGACGTTCGAACGATAACAGTTCTTACGATAGAGATGTCAGATCTACTGGAAGTCAACAACCTAGAAGGCCTCAGCGGCTTAACCGATGACAAAGGCGCCCACCAAACCGACGGTTCGAGAACAGAGATGCGGTAGCGGGACGTTTTTCTTACATGGCAGGTAGATGTCGACGCTGTGGGGAAATACACCCTAACGTGATATACCGAGAATGCCGGAATCCTGGAAAACTATTTTGTTTCCATTGCAGAAAAATTGGAGAAGTATGCTCTTTAAACTCCGAGCGCCAAGCCTCGAGAACACCAACATAGTTGTAGACACCTATGATGCACCCAGGATTGTCTTAAACATCAATACCGACAATTCCAAAATCATTGAACTTTATGTAGGACGTACTTATACCTGTTGGCTTATAGATAGTAGAGCCGCCGTTAGTTTAGTCAAGTCTGAAGTTGTTGAGCGCTTAAACTTACCAGTTGCCCCGGACGACCATAGGATCATCACGGATATATCCGGAAATGTTATCCAGAAGGGAGGATCAGCGAGAGTACGATTCAACCTTGGATTTATAGAAATGGAACACCAATTCGTCATCTGTAACAATGATCTAAAGTTTCCAGCCGACGGATTATTAGGCATCGATTTCCTGGATCATCATCGACCTATCCTCGATTTAAATGGTGGATTAATTAGGTTACACGGGACGATTATACCCCTGAAAGTTATGCACCCCCTTTGGATACATAAGCCAGCTACCGAGACTCCTAGCTGTCGCGGATTACAAGGAGTCTTTGGCCCGAGGCTGACACTGTCAGCTATAGAAGTACCTTTCAAAATTGTACCCATAGAGACGCATCTGCGCAACCCACACAGGTTTCTAAGGTTCCTGTCGTGCATAGGCGACAACTGCAGTCCTGTGAAAACGCGGATTCCCAGAGTACGGGTGCGGCGATCCCCGCGAAAAAGAGTCAGTCAGTTGCAACGAAGGGTATGAGTACTCACCTTCCTAAGGGTCGCCAGTAGTTAAGCACGACTCCTCTTGACGTCTTGGTCCAATGCCGCCACCGCTGCTGCCTCTCAATTAAACCCACAATCAACAATAGAATTTCAGAAATCTAGCTTGGAGGAAGCCTATACAAAGGGACCAAGTCTACACAAATTGTCTGAAACAATAGAGATGCAGGCTTTTCACGGTAGCGACCTTAGTATTCCGGTGGACAGTGGACACCCATCGGGTACTACGGTCTGCGAACCCTTACACGTCACCCCAGGGATTTTCGTAGCCAGAACTCTGGTAGACATACCAAACCACACACAGAGAAGCCGCCGGACAATCGTGATTAGAATAATCAACGTTTGTCCGTTGGCTCAGACAATTCGGAAAAACACGCCGATTTCGATACTGATGAGCGCCAGCACGGAAGACATCAGCCAAAATCTTCTTTCATCGCAAGTCAATACAATTAACTGCAGCAGTGAAGTTTCAGCAGTATATTTTGAAGACGACAACGGAACGTTAATGGAAAAATGCCTAAAGGGTAAAGATTGCCAGTACATAGAAATCCAGGAGATTTTGGAGGAATTAAAAGATATTTTTGCCGAGAAAAACCTTTAAAAGCAACGTCCCTAGTTAAGCATAGAATTGACACAGGAAATAACCCACCAGTTTATAAGCCACCTGATCGCGTAGCATTTAAGTTACAGCAGATAGTAAGAAAACAAGTCGACGAGGTGTTAGAAGGCGGAACAGTCAAAACCTCGGTATCTTCCTTCAGCGCGCCAGTGGTGACCGTAGAACAGCTGACTAAGGAAGGACAAAAGAAGTATCTTTTCTGTATCGACTACCGTGGACTCAACGCAATAACCAAGAGAGACTTATTTCCGATTCCCAATATCAACGAGACCTAAGATTCTTTAGGAGAGCAGAGCTTTTCTCGACCCTGGACATGACGAAAGCATATTGGCAGGTGGAAATAGACCCGAATGATAAAGAGAAGACTGTGTTTTCTGTGCCTTGGGTGCATTACGAGTGCAACAGGATGCCGTTTGGAATAGGCAACGCACCAGCAACATGGATGAGGCTGATGTATGCGCTGTTGTCAGGTCTCACAGGGTCACACTGTTTCGTCTACCTCGACGATATAATCTGTTTTTCAAGGAATGATGTCAAGGAACACGTAAACAAGCTCCGAGACATACAGGGTGACTTCGAAGTTGAGTCATTTATTTTAACAGTGAGTAGATCTGATCAAAAGAAATGTTTTTTCCTTTAACATTTTTCTGGTAAAATTAAAGTAACAAAGTTATAGCCCTTTCGAAGTTTGAGTACCGCCCTGTCTCAATAATAATATTATGTGCTCGTGTTTGGCAACAACGGATATAATCCGCCTTATCCGTTCATCGCATCGGAAACAAAAAAGCGAAAGAATTTGAAACGATGTTTTTACTACAATGTACAATTTTATTCAGTTGTATTTAGTCGATTTGTAAGTCGGTAACGCGTGAGTGAATAGTGGTGTTTGTTGCGTTGCTCAAACGAAATAAAAAATGGCACATGTTTATGAAAATGCTGAATGTAGTACAAAGGGCTCGTGAATCAGGTGACTTAAGACCTCACAGGGGAGGGCATGCCGGTACTCCAAGACCGCTCGATCAAATACAGGTCCGCACTGAAATACTTGTCGGGAGGATACTTTATAAAACAAGGTAACATTTTTTTTTTTATTTTTACACACATATTTTGGTTTATCTTCCTTCTACAATCATTATCTGAAAATTAATGACTCAACTTCAAAGTCACCCTGTATTTTTGAAAGTTCGAGAAGCGGGCTTAACGCTGAACAAGGACAAGTGCGAATTCCTCAAGACCCACACAGGTTACCTAGGTCATATAGTGAGCAAAGATGGAGTAAAACCAGATCCAGCAAAGGTCGAAGCAATTCGAAATTATCCACCACCAAAGGACGTCAGTCAAATCAGAGCTTTTCTGGGGTTAGTTGATTACTATCGGCGGTTCGTCAAGAACTTCTCTCAGATAGCCTTAACATTAACCAATTTCACACGGAAAAACATACCATACCAGTGGGATTCGACTTGCCAGGATGCCTTCAACCAGTTAAAAACAGCACTCGTTAAAGAAGCAATACTGAAGTACTCTGACTTTAACAAGAAGTTCATTCTAGCGACAGATGCATCAGGTTTTGCTATTGGGGCAATTCTCAGTCAAGAATATGGTGGAGTAGAACTTCCCATCGCTTACGTCAGCAGGCAACTGAAGAAAGTCGAGCGGAACTCCAGCACTACCAAAAGGGAATGTTTGGCGTTGGTCTAGAGCATCAAACATTCTCACTGTTACTTGTATGGAACAGACTTCACCGTTTATACCGATCATCAATCGCTGAAGTGGCTCATCGGAGTAAAGGAAGCAAACAACCACTTGATGAGATGGTCACTAGCTTTGTCAGAATATACTTTAAAAATAGAGTATAGGCCGGGTAAGAAACATAGCAACGTTGAAGCCCTCTCTAGGATTAAGCCTATAAGATGCTTTAAGGTCGGAGAAGAAGAATAAACGCCAGTGTGGGAGCGAGCAGAGATCAGAAGACAACAGAGATCAGATGAAAAGGTCGTGAAGATCATCAAGGAAGTCCTCAGCAATGCGGCTAAGGACTACTACCTGGATCTAGATGGAGTACTCTAAAAAAGATCGGACGATAGCCGACACGGAGATACCTTAGTTGCACCCAAAAATTTGATACCGGCCATACTTAAGTTATATTTCAACTTACCACTTTCAGGGCATGCAGGAATCGACAAATCTTATGATAGAATAAAACGAGCTTTCGTGTGGACAGGAATTGTGTGTCCTGCGCGCAGAGAAAGACTTCACCACACCAAAAGCCCACGCCATTAGTAAACAGCGAACCTGCCAAAAGGCCATTTTATAGAATATCCATGGACGTAGTGGGACCTTTGCCTGTAACCTTGAGAGGTAACAAATACATACTAACAGTACAGGATGCCTTGACCAAGTAAGTGGAAGCCTTTCCAATTCCAGACCAAACAGCCAATTCCGTAGCGAAGACCTTCATCACAGGAATCATTCTACGCCATGGAACGCCGAGACAGCTTTTGACAAACCTAGGTACAAACTTTACTTCTGAGCTGATGCGTGAAGTTTGTGAGACCTTACAGATAAAGCACCTGAAAACCACTGCATACCGACCACAAGCCAATGGAGCCTTGGAGAGCTTTCATGGCACGTTAAAGGATATGCTCAATCACTACAACCGTGACAGATAAATGGCTGCCCTACGCCTTAGCAGCCTCTTCCTCGATGACGCAGTCGTCTACTGGAGAAAGCCCATTTTTCCTTTTGTATGGCAGGGACATGGACTACCCATACGATGACATCTTCAAACCACTGAGGGTGAGATACGACGCAGATTCTAACTATGCGGTAGAATTCATACAGCGTATGAAGATTGCTCACATAAATGCTCTCGACAATCTAAAGAACGAATTCACACTCAATTCAATAAGAAAGCTCAAGACAGAAGATCGGGTATATCTTCGGGATCCTGCGGATAAGGTCGGGATTAGTAGTAAATTAGCCAGGAAGTGGACAGGACCGTACAGGATAATCGATCTACGGAAAGTGACAGCCACGATAAGGGAGATACATGAGGTTAAGGAACAGAAGGTCCACATCAACCGGTTGAAGAAATGTCTGGCCACAGAAGATCCAGGAAACCAACTGGGAAATGTACCCATAAAGTTCCGACTGACAGAAAATATACCACCAATCGTAATCGGAATTTATCGCGGACAAGGACGTGAACAGGAGTGCGTAGAAGAAAATGGCGAATTGGCTAGCTTCGAGACATCCATCTCGCCTAGGAGGATTGCAAAGAACCAAGAAGACGAGGACGAAGACACTCCCCCACGCCCTATCGACCACAAAAGAGAAGAGGATCAAGATCTGAAGACAGAAACATTACCGGCGGAAGAAGAACCCGCCAGACAACAAACCCCAGCGGAACTAGCAAGAAGACATATCAGGAGTCAAGGGCCAGTACCAGAATTACCTTGGGTTACTGATCACCATTTTTAATACCACAGTCACTTCGCAACGCCCAGAGCCATATATAACCATTTCAACTACTAAACGTTCTTATTTTTGAGTTCTTCGGGCTACTCGTCATCCTTGCAGCCAGCATGCTGCGGTTAGAGGCGGACATCATCGCCTATGACTGCAAGGACGACTAGGTTGAGCTCACGAAGGTCTCGCTGTTGAAGGTGAACCCATGTCTGGACACGAGGAAGGCGGAAGAAACCAGACCATGGGACATCCAGCTGGTCCAGAAACGCCAATACGTGGGGGTCGACGTATACACCTGTCTGATCGCCGTGCAACAAACGATCCAGCATTGCGGGATGCACTCGCACTCCAACAAAGTCGCAGGGGGCCTAGGAAAGTATGTCCTGGACCTGTCGGACTCCGAGTGCAGAAGAGCGCAGAAATTCCAACACTTGGACCTGAGGGCTATCGGCTGGTATGGTGTCCCAGCTCACGAAAAATGGAACGACGGAGGTTTCCTCAACTCTGCAAGGACAACTGGACATAGAAGGCCGCTGCGAGGGAATGACCTTCACAGTAGGAGAGGTTGCCTACAAAAACGTAGTCGTCTCAGGAGCTATCACCATCAAGCTGTCTGACTACGACACAGTTGCCAATGTGGAGTTAAACACCATCCACCTGAGGAGCGGCACCATCTGCCCATTTAACGATGGCACCTGTTTCGACGATTTGTCCGGAATCGCACTTTACGAGTCCCACTACTAAGACTAATGCACCAACAAAGGTTTGACGTACTATACGAAGGAAATGCCACCCTTCTCACCTTACGTAAAGATCCACTGATCCAGTACGTGATTATGGAGACGGACGACACAGTGTTTGCCCTGAAGCTGACAAAGCGAGAAGACCTTTGCCATCAACCCTCCTGGCAAACAGAACAAGACCGCCATTTCCCTGCGCAATTCCCTGCTCACTGCCGTGGAACTGGGCTGCATGTAAACCTCTTATAAACAGTAAGGTTATTCGCACAAAAAGAAAGAAAATACACCCTATTTCATCAGTATCCATCATGGTAGAATGACAAGTGATTATCTAGTAATATCTCAAAATTCCCCATATCGGCACAGGACACAATTCTGACGGCTCCGTCAACGTCAGGTAGTCAGAGCGGTATTTTGTTTTAGTTTTTTGTATGCTACAGATTAATTTTGTACTTGCTAACAGCTCTTTTATCTAGAAAAGATCATTTTAATACCAAAAACAAAACGCTACAAACAAGTTACACTGGATTTTACACCAGATTCGTTATTGCAAACGTCGCAGACTAACAAAAAAATGTCACTTACTACTCAGTAGACGTCAATGCATAATGGATATTCGTGAAATAGGGTATAGCCTTGGCTATGTCACGATCTTAAGCATCCTGTAATAGTGGCAGGCGTTATCTTTATTAATTCCAAGTCTTATCTTTCTTTTACTGCGCCTGCTCAGATGTCAAATCCGGCCAGGAATTATTACTTTATTGGACGTTCAATAACTCCCTATTGCGTGTAATACACAACAGAAATGTATATCTTTGAGCTCTTCGGATTGCCAAAAATACAAATCTCTCATCAGAAACCTGTTATTCTGGGACACTCTGTAAAAGTTGCATAAATATGATTTGAATAATATGAATAATTATGTACCCCCTCTGAAAGCCTTCTAAATTCAAATAATATAAAAAACGAAAAGAAAAAGAATCGTCAAAATCAAAGCTATTCTCGAGGACTTTCAACGAAAACCTCCGATGATGCTACTAACGTACCTACTAATTGAACTAAATTAAATGGTTAATCCAGCTGAAAGTTACGTACCTATATCTTTATTCCATAATGGTAGTTGCGAATTTGAAGAATATTTACATATCTTTCAGTCAGAAAGAAAGATATTTTATAGCTGTTAGAAAAATTTAAGGTTTTGGTAAAATAATTGAACGCGTGAAAATGAATTTTAATTGAATTTGTTTTCATCATTAATTTTAACAATTTTTCCATTCAGGTGTCACAAAAGACCATCACCAGGAATGAAAATATTTGGACCATGAATATTATTGATGTGTCATACAACACAAAATTTAGATAAAAGTATATTCTCAAGTATAGATTATTTTACTGTTCACAAAATGTCAAATAACTGTAGGATATATGGATGATTTCATAAAGGTCTGTGTTAGGTATTGACGCTGTTGCTTTAACAGATAAGAGAGTATTTGTTTGTCAAAACAGCAAAAATATGCTAACAACATATGGCGTAATAAAATCATCCTTATATCATTAGAAATGTGTACTAGAAAATCATACACAGTCTCAGATGTATGCAAAGAGCCGGCAACGACACATGTGGCGCTTATACACAATCTGGCAACTATGTGGAATCTAGAAAAAGTGACGCTTGACATTGACATAAATTAACCGTGTTGTCCATGGTTAGCACGGGACTGCACTTTCTGCAGTATGTTTTGTGTTTGTGTTCTTCAGTGTCTGTGTTTTATGGTTCTGAGTTCGCGTTCGTTTCGTGTTTCGTGTGTTTTGTGGTGATCTCGTCCAACGTCCACGCGCCATTTTCGACGCCGCCTCATAGATCCGGCGTGGCTTTTATTTTCTAAAGCTTGACGTTAGTCACATTTTCCTGTAATTTAAAAGTATTTTCGGGTTTTCCTGTTTCCCAGGTTAAAATATGGTGAGTAAAGCCTTATTTTATATTACACTTCAACTTCATTATCTGATTTTATATTTTGTAACCTCAAGTTTTGTACAGATTAGACGATTATAGAATCCTGGTTTTTCTTGCACTGTAGTGTTTGCTATCCACATTCGTTTTAATTTAGTTTTTGTTGGGTATATGTATTCTTCATATGTGGGTAAAGACACACTTGTCTGCATTTTTAGTTAAGTGGTTCATGGTTTTCGTTCTTGATATTTTAAACTAAGAATATTTCATTTTTTATCGTTGTATGTGCTTCAGCATTGCTATATTGGTGAATATATGGTGTTTGGAATTTCAATGGTCTGCCAACAGAAAAACAACATGCTTCAAAATTAACAAATCAGATACTCCCTTGGCGTGCTCCATTCCCGACTTGCACTACAAATTCAACAAATCGTGTAAGTGTAGTTGGTCATACAAATGTACGAATGCTCTTTGAAATGTCAAATAGTTGGGGTGAATGTGCCAGTGATCCGACAGGTTAGACAAAAGTGGAATACAAAGTGCAATTACGAATTTTGTGTTCAAGACAACACAACTTATGCTTTTGGAGGTGATCATATATGTTAACTTTTTGCTGACAAAAAATACATTGCTTAGATATTCCTGTAATTTTATAAAAAAAATAATGTTAAGCAAAAAGGTGGTATTTTGCCAGTACTTGTACAGAAGGTGCTACTAGTAGTTTTAGACAGAACTGTATTTGAAAGTTTGTGATAGGTAGTATAGAAATTTCAAATCAGCTGTCATTAAGACTGAGGAAAAGAAATTAAACACATACTGAATCCATATAATAAAAAATTATCAAAAATTTATACAACTAGGTAAAAATGAACAAGAAATTAATTGCAAAATAACCCCTTCCTGCACTGTTGACTTTGAACTAACATACTGTTTTCATATTTCAAGCAATTTCCCAACATTTCTTACAGCTTTATCTGTCTCGTTTAGCCTGCCTTCACTATATACACGGAAATTATTTTTTATTATGTGAAATTTTATTTCACATCTGGTGAAAAAATGGTGGGAAAAGGGAAGTGGCAGGTCCACTGGTTTCCGTGTCAGCCCCAACAGATGATAAACATCAAGTATTATCAGCCTAACATATCTTAGAATTCATAAAGAAAATATAACCTCAAAATGAGTGCTTACAGGAAAACTAGAAATCTAGAAATAGCCCTGCCTTTCTAAATGACATAAATGTTACTCCCCTGACTTGTTAGTACTGGTACCTATAAAACCTGTCAAAATTGTATTGTTCTGAGATCATCAGAACTTAAAATCGAATTGTGCAAAAAATTGTTGAATATGAAATGAGTAATACCTATTCCATACAATGATAATGAAAGCTGAAGCATTCCTTTATCATGCAAATGATAACTAAACTTGCTATTTTTTTCCGGGAACCCTGGCATATTTTTCTAATACCATGTATAAGTGAGCCACTGGGATCTCGGAAATTGTAAGAGATACGATTTTGCGTAAACTGGGGCAAAGTTGTATATTTAGGGAATCAAAATGCCGCTTAGAAAGTTTCGAAATTCAAAGTACTTTCGGAGAGAGACGGAAGAAATGAAATTTTCCAAAATTATTTTAATTTTGCCCAGACTTTATTTGTGGTGGGATTTCAAAATACATTCCACACTAACATTGCCACTTTTTCTCCTCTAAAAGAAGGCATACTTGGAATGTTGATATAATGTTTTGTTTCTTGTCCTCCAGCATGAACTTTATTTTTTCTTATGGATGTCATATTGAGTTTTTAATTCTGATTTCAAAAATGTAAAATACGTCATGCATTGACATTGCCAAACCTTAGTTATTTAGAAAAAAAACATAATTTCCTATGTAGGCCTATAAATTATGACAGTCATTTGCTTTGCATACTAGACTTATCCCAAAACTACTTTTATTTTTTCCTGACTTTATTCAAAATGGAATTTCAAAATAAATTGCATGTTGTCATTGTTACTTATTCTCCTCTACAAGATGTCATAGTCAAATTCTCAATTTGACATTTTTTCATTCAATTTCCTTTACTAACTTTGTTTTTTTTTATGGACGCTATCTTGGGAATTTTGTTCATTTAAATGGTGTTTTCAGTTCTAAATTCAGTGATGTATTTCCTTAGTTTGCCATAAATTTGTTGTTGGATGAAAATTATAACTAAATAAAAAGGTATGGTGAAACCTGAAGACAAAATGAAAATTTTATTGATGGTAATAACAATAAAATCATAAACAAGCATAGGTAAATCATAGCAGCATGTCTTTCTCTGTACGTCTGGCAATGTTAATGTATAGCATATACATTTTTCAAATCAGAATTAAAAATCCTGTTAATCTGTACAAAAATCCAATATGGCGTGTGTAACGAAAAATGAAGTCGATGCTGGATCACAAGAGATGAAACTCCTTGTAGAGAAGTGGCAATGTTTTTTTTTTGTGTTTTTGGAGAGAATATGTTAATATACAATTTATTTTGAAATCCCACTACACATAAAGTCAGGAACAAATATAACAGTCTGGGAAATTTCGTTTTTCCCGTCTCTCTCCGAAAGTACATTGAATTTCGAAACTTTCTAAGCTCATTTTGCTGATTATCTAAATACGCAACTTTGCCCTCATTTAACGACTTCGTATTTATTACATTTTCCAAGATCCCAACGGTGAGGGTCGAATTTCAAACACCCTGTATATATTAGTGCTACTACTATATCACTTCTTTCATGTCTCAGTTCATATCAAACGAACGATAAAACATGCCGCATATGCGCCGTAGCAGTAGCTTAGATCCTATAAATCAAAGAACGCATAAAGAAACCAATTGGGCAAGTTCTATAGAAAATTGCATCCTCTACAATTTTGGTACAAGCTATATTTGTAGTTACTCGTACTGTTAAAGAGAAATATAAAAACGTACTGTTCAAGAGAAATATAAAAAAATGTACTTTTGACATGTAACAACCAATAGAAAATTGTGCACTCCAGGGATTGATGGAGTCTTTTGATATATCAATTGCAATAACATACTGAAGGCCTGAAGCAATTTTCAACTAGGTACCATTTTTTTTCCAGAAAATCCGACTTACCTTGCATCCATCCCTTTTTCTCACTTGTTTCGATCCATCTCACTTTTACTCACGCCCCAAGTTGAGCCAATCAAATAGACCCCCGCTAATGATTAAGTTAGCCAACTATTGTGTAAAAATGGCGTCTTGAAATCGTATTTTTAATTTAGAAAGAAGCTCCAAAGACTGTATTCCCTGATTTTCGTTAAAACTGTTGAGCTACTTGGCCAGGGTAATAGTTTTACCATAATTTGAAATAGCTTATGTAGATACTCGAACCTCATGGATATCAGAATCTTCGGAAAGCTCTCGTATTTCAACTGGATTTTCAATTTCTTGGCCTGAATCTGAATCTTCAACTACAAACTTTCATCTAGGTTCAAAAAATCATAACTGTTTTCATTGTCAGTTTCAATAAATCCTTATTTTTATCTCGATATCTGAAAGTACATTAAGTGGCAAGTCATCTTCTGGGTCAGGTGTATCAGCCTCATTTAACTGGTCTTCACTTTGCACATGTTCATGCTTAAATCCTGCTTTGCGGAAGCAATTTTCCACTGTTTCTTTGGTTACTTGGTCCAAAGCGGTTTTCGCCAAATAAACTGCATCCAATGACGGATTTTCTTTAACTCAAAAGCTGTACCAGCAGTTTCAATGTTTACCAGCAAGTGTTTGAGTATTAGACTTCAGTAGTTTTAAAACTCTTTATAATCGCTTGGTTAAGTAGTTGACAAGCTGACAATCAGTTGACAAAAATAACATTTTTATATTGTTTAAGCGAATGTCTTTTGGATGAGATCACGCATTATATAAGCAAAATGTTTCTTTTTTCTTTAGCCATTTTTCAATCTATTTCTTGCAACCACTCTCTCATAATTTGTCTTGTCATCCAAGCTTTCTTATTGCATTTCCAAGTTTCAGACAGGTTATTTATGTTAATGTTTTTAAACTTTCTGGGCATAGTCGCCTCACCAATGACTAGTTTTTATTTTTCGTACGCCATAAAGATTAAAGTCGGTGATTCCCCAGTTTACTCCAAAAGGTCCCAGCGAAGATGGCGGCGGCACGCAGCATGATTGAGAAATGCGAGAGCGATTCTCTCAACAGAAAAAAAGGGGTGTCCGGGAATTTCACTGTTTGTTGGAAGGAAACTTGACAGTACGATATTTTTGCAGAGTCGCCGTAGCGAAAACACCACGAAGGTGTTTGTGGGCAGCCTGCCGCCTGGGGTAACTGCCGAAGACCTGCGCAAGCTGTTCGAGCCTTATGGCGCTATAGCCGAGTGCGATATTGCGAACAAGTGTGGCTTCCTTCATCTGGAAGATGCCGAGTTGGCAATGAAGGCCATTGAAGAACTAAATGGCACTGAGTTCATGGGTGGAAAGATTTCTGTGGAGAAGGGCAGAGTCAAGTCTAGAGGGGGGGGCAGAGGAGGTGGATCTATGAGAGGAGGAATGAGAGATCGAGGAGGACCATATTCAAGAGGAGGTGGCGACTTTAGGTGAGCACTTATCCATTGATACATTTATCATTTCCATGTTGTATCTATGTGTACAGGGCAGCCAACTAAGAATCCGAGGTTCTGTATATGGGAACCTATCCATCGTAGAGGCTTGCGGCAAAAACAGTTACTACTAAAACGAGAAAAAGAAAAACATGGAAACTATTTTGAAGTTCCTGAAATGGCCGCTAAGGGGTGCTACTGCAATCTTGAATCTAAAAAAGTGATGTTTCTGTGAATTCCGCTATTATAACCTAAAAAAAAAATACCTGATCTTTAAAGTTGAGGACAATCTGAACTTTTTTGATTGACAATTTTTGCTATATCTCTAAAAATAAAGTGGTGGGGGGTATTCAAAGGTTTCCGTAAAAACACCCTGGCTATTCATGGGCTACAAATGTTATATTTGAAGTTTTGTTAGTTTCACATGTGGCCGCTAGACGGCTTTTTTCGACATTTGCTCGCGAACACCGCATCTCGATATCTTGTCCCTAACCTAGAATTTAGGAAAAAGAATACTGAAATCCCTCAAATTTTTATTTTTAAAACTAATTTTTCTGGAACTCAACTGTATACCTCAATTTGTTATCACTCAGCGATTTATGAAGCATTTTAGCCTTTTAAATGCAAGTGAATGATCACTTTTCTAATTTCGTCAGAAACAGGTTTACCTCGAGCCCTTCTTGAATTGTTATCAACACCAATGCATTGAAGGTTGATTTAAACATCGAAAATCAGCTTCTTCGCAACATAAAATGTGGTCCCCATCATGTATTTTGCTATACACAAATCAGCAAGAGACAGTTTTGAAATAAAAACTCTTTAAAAATAGTTATCTTTCCACAAACATTTAAAGAAACCAAAAATATATTTGAAATAAAATTTTAATTAGCCCTCAAATATCAAGTTTTGGGGCGTACAAAAAATCAACTATATTGATATGATCCATTACTACAAAGACGCTTCCTCATTGGTTTATTAAGGTCCGGATCAAGATTTTAGATCCTGCGGGTCAATAGTAAAAGTCGCGGGCCTAAGTATTCCGTTTATTGTTAATTATTAACATTGATGTTATTTATTATTGTACATATTACCTTTGTTGAAAATAAATGTTTGTTGCAGAGGTCCTCCACGTGGAGGCGGCGGCCGATTCCGTGGAGGCGGTGGTTTTGACCGCGGTGGCGGCCGTTTCGGTGGCAGTGGATATGGTGATGATAGACGAGGAGGCGGTTTCGATAGGCGCAGTGGATTCGATGACCGAAGAGGAGGAGGTGCTGGAGGGGGCTACGGTGATAGATACGGAGGCGGCGGTGGATATGGTTAGTTGTTCACAGCTAATATTGTTTCTTGCAATATTTATGTAAAATTTGGGAATGCTGCCAATAGAACATTGTTAAGTATGTCCGTTTTTCTACTATAACAAAAAATAGGTAATAGTTGGAGGGCAGTACGTAGCCTGACATTATCAAGGAGTAGCAGGTTGGTCTCTCCACTATACATCGTCGTCCATTTTCTTTGGAGTGCTGACTTGAATCTAATTGCTGATAATGCCTCTCAATATGTAAACTTTTTGTTCAGTTTCAAAAGGTCGTTATGTAATGCTCTTCGAAAGTTCCGCCATGTAAACATTTTCTTGACGCACCCAAACTCAGTTTACAGGTGGAGAAAGTAGGTCTTCCCGATTCGTAATATGCTATTTTATTAATGACATATTTTTAGCCGATTCAATCAAGAATAAGAAATAAACTTTTAATTCTTTTACAGAAGTGTCACTTTTATATTGATTATAAAAATAATGTAGTAGACTGAAAAATATTGTTTATGATTTGTTCTATATTATTTTAGTATTTTAACTACCTTCATGTTGATAGAATACGTTCTTATATTTCACAAATGAACTATTTCACAACAAAAACTGGCATTTTAGGAATCAGTTTGTCGAAGTCTTCGTATAACTCTGCAACTCTGCTTTTATCTCGCAATAATTAGAAACTCCAAAAATATATCCTGATGATGGCAGTGATGTCCAATTTTGCTCTCGCTTGGCGGCGCTAGTGTGGTTGGAGGTCAGACTGTCAAAAATACATGGGAAAGACACATTTGATAGAAAGGAAATCTATTTTCACTATACTTCACCACGTTTTAAGGGAGATTGATATGAACAGCTAATCAGCAATTCACATCTTTCACTGGTATCCATAGACCCGACCCACTAGCAGAACAATTGTTGGTACTGATGCAGATACCTTCATTGGTTCGCTAAGAAACAATGCATTGTAATCATCTTTCCGAGAACGACGAGTTGCTGCTTCGTCGCCGGAGATCGTCTATCTATACCAGTGTTTGTCAACACCACACTGAATGTAAGGACATTAGGGTGTCCCAGCCTATGAGGAAAAACAAATTTTTGTTCGAATTGAGATGCGCATACCCTCTTATTTTTTCTACAATTTGACTCTAACAACTCAAAAAATAAATATTATTGCGATAACCGCTAAACCGACTGTCAGTCAAACTTTGAATTTGAAAGTTAATAGGGAAACCATGTATGGCTTTCAAGACCTAATTGTTATTCAACAAATAAAACTATGCTTTATTTATATCTTAAATAAAGTCTTCTTTTTACAGTCAGGATATATCTGTCTGTGTTCTACGCTACATAATAAAAATTGTTCAGCAGTGATTACGCCCTGGAAGTATTGCATTAACTTGACTGCTTTTTTTTGCCGTATCATTAACTGCTGTCAGTGTTTGCACCGTATTCTTAGCGGGTTGAAAAGAATCATTATGTGGTCATGAAGTTGGACACTCGTTGAGCAAACTGATCAATTTTGAGTCGACGGAAGAAGGATTTGATTTTGATTGACACAAAGTCATCGATATTTTTCTCTGAAATGAAAAAACGATATATAAATCTAAATATTTGCAGAACTTTTGTAATGCACCTTTTAAATTTTTTTTTTAGTTCTTAAGCATAACTCCAGGTTAGGTGATTTTACCGTGCATTGAAACGACGCTTTCACGTATGTTGTCACGATGAACAGGCAAATATCTAACAGAGCTGCTTTATCGTTATTAGAAAGTTTGAGCTGGGAACTTACGCTATTTTTGATTATTAGATTGCTCTGGCTATCCATCGAGCTTGATGCATGGCGCCTGGCGGTCAAATCTTGAAAATGTTCTCTGTATCTCTGCCAAGGAACATTATTGAAAGTTCTATTAATTCTCGGTAGTCAGCAACTTCTTTGCTCAATTCATGTTGATAAAATTCTGGCAGCTTGTCAGTCTCTGAAATATTCACGCATGATAGCTTTTCGTAGACGTGATGGCGGCAAGCAAAAATAAGCATTTCTTTATTATGTTTCTATTGGAGAAGTACGCAGGCACCGCTATAATGCCGTATTTGAAGCAGTAGTATCACAAGAGAGAATCTGAACTTTATCTTCACGATTCCAGTCAATAATAGCGTCCCAAACTGCCTGAGCCTGTTTGCTGCCTGAAGAGTTATCCCATTTGGGCACAGCGATAAGTTGCTCTTTATTTTCATACGATATAACAATCGGTAGACGTTCTTCTTTAGACTTGCGTGCATTTATGGGGGCAACGATTTGCCATATTAGTGATCAGTTACAGTCACTACTAGTCAATTCAAGTGAAGATCACCTTTCCAATAATTGATTATCGACTTGATATAGATCGTCGCGGTGGAGGCGGCTATGATGACATGGGCGGTGGAGGCTTTGATGACCGAAGAGGCGGCGGCTACGGAGGCGGTGCCAGAGGCGATTTGTACAGCAGGAGAGATGGAGGCGGACCTAAGGCTGCCGGGTAAGTGATTACATTTTTTATCGTACGGATTCATTGACCACTTGGTATATTTTACTGTTTCCTGTTTTGTCTAGTATGAAATTACTCGGCCGGGTAATTTCAGTGAAATCTCCTTCGGAAGGACACCAACGGGACCGGCTGAAAGTGTCCGCATAAAAGAACTACAACAAAAATCGTGTTTTTAATGGAAACTGAATTTATTATATAAACTGGGACGTTTAAAACGTATATGTATATAAATCTATTTAAAATAAACAAAAAACTTCAAACTTATGAAAAAAGGTTTGTTACCTTTAGATATATACAAAGTTTGTAATATGTATAACAATATTTATGTACATACATATACACCTTGGGAAAAAACATTATTGTACATTATGATGAGGGAGAGAGATGGAAATATACAAAAGTATGTAGGTGCGTGAAAGACACTCGATTGTAGGATCCTATGTGGCAGCGTCGGTGTGTGACGGACAACGGGGTAAACTAGAAGAGTGATAAAAGAGAGAGATGGCAGAACGGGTGCTGGCGCCTACCGCTTAGACGGATGCGCTCAACCACCAACAAATGCGATTTGTTTCTCCCATTCGCAGAGTTGCCGATACCAATATGTCATATTTCTAAGAAATCTAAGTCTACCCAAATTTCGGGAAAAATAGCTGCGGATTTCACATAAGAGTATTCCAAAATTGAAAAAGTTAAAACTATTAAAATTGTATTAATGTTTCATGGTTCAAATCACATTTTTCATGTTTTTATATTGTTGTATAAATGATTTTGTTATCCCTATTCTTGTTGCCAGTAGAGATACAACAGTATTGAGAGAAATCATGGACCGCTAGATAGGGCTACAACTACCATATGACTATCAAATAGTAGTGATAAACAGGGTTTGTTTATAGCACAGTTGCCTGGTGTGGCGAATTTGCGCAATAGGGACGATTTGACAACTTTGAAGGACAACTATAACGGTTACTATGGTGCCCGGTATTCGGGAATCTGGCAATACCTGATGATTCCTAATGTTTATTACGCCAGATTGTTTGCTGACTTGCGCAGTACAACATGACAATCAACGTGACTGAGCACCTGGTAACCCTGATTTAAGGTGTTATATTTAAAGAGCTTGGGACAGTTAGGTATCTAGGTCACATTTTTTAATGTATTTCGAGAAACCCGTAATGTTGAGTAAATACTAGATCACGTTTCTTGCTTAGTTTGCTGAAAATTCTACAATAGACGTACATTTTGAGAAACAGAGATTTGGTGACGACAAAATCGTAAAAATATAACGCATTTTCGTAAAATAATTTCTTTGTTGAAAAGACTGTGGCTTGATGACCCATTGATCGAGTATAGTGTCCCGCTCCGCTTTGAATATTCGAAACACTATACTCCAGCAGCATTCAGCTTCAATGTTATCTTTATGAAGTTCTAACGTCTAGGCCATGCTGATTAAAAGCTTGAATGAATCAACACTTAACTCTAAATTCCCCACAATTCGGGAAGCTCTACTCAAATTGGCAACACAGCGTATCTGCCTATTATTCTCATTCGTGATACAGGTCTGCGGTTAACGGTAGGAAATATGTACGAATAGCGATGAAAGTAGACGAGCCGATGCGCTGTTGCCAAGAAATTATTTCCCATGTATAACAATGGTTTTTCCCAAGGTGTATGTAGTAACACAAAACAATGAAATAAAAAGTCACTTTAAGGACACAAAAATTCTTATATTGTCATTTGTCTCCTCTTTTTCTTTCAAGTGGCGTCTTAAAATCGTATGTCTAATTTAGAAGAAAGCACCAAAGCCTCTGTATCTCCCTCATTTTCAACAAAACTTTTGAGCTGCTTGGTCAGGGTAATAGCTTTACCATAATTTGGAATAGCTTCTGTTGGTACTGTAACGTCATCGATAAAAGAATCTGCAGAAACTTCTTGTATTTCAACATACGAACATTCATTTAGGTTCAAAAATCATAAAGGTTTTGAGTATCAGTCATTTTGAATAAATTCTTATGTTTGAGGATATCTGACCGAACATTAAGTGGTAAGTCATTTTCTGTGTCAGATGTATCAGCCTCATTTAACTGGTCTTCACTTCGCATATTTTCATGCTTGAATCCTGCTTTGTGGAAGCAATTTTCCACTGTTTCTTTGTTTACTTGGTACCAAGCTGTTTTTGCAAAGGTAACTGCATTCAGTGAGGTAAATTTCTTTATTAACTCAAAGCTGTACCAGTAGTTTCAATGTTTACTAACAGGTGTTTCGAGTATTCGACTTTGTTAATGTTTCAAAACTCTATAATCTGGGGAAGCTGATGTACAATTAGGAGGCAAAAATAAGATTTCTATATTATTTAAGCAAATGTCTTGGATGAGATCCTATATTGTCTAAACATAACAAAATGTTTCTTTTTTCTTTAGCTATTTTCCAATCAGGTCTTGCAATCACTTTGTCACAATTTGTCTTGTCATTCTCGCTTTATTTCCAAGTTTCAGGCAGTTCATTTGTGTTAATATTTTTAAAAGTTCTGGGCTTAGCTGCCTTACCAACGACTAGGAGTTTTTTTTCACCCGTCATATTTACACAGTGCATAATTGTAAACCTCTCTTTGGAACGAAATTTTTCCAAAAATGATGAAACAATCTTTAGCATTAACCGAAGCTCCTTCTCCCTAAATCGCTTCAAAACTTATATTGTGGCGAATTTTAAATTTATTGAGCCAACCAGAAGAAGCACTGAATTTAGAATGTCCCAGAGAATCGCCTATTTTTTTGCTTAGCATGGTATTAGCGGACCTAAAGAAAAATAAGTGTTTCGTGTTTTTGTCACGACAAAAGTATTGATAATCTCACTCTTTTTATCTATTTTAGAATAGATGTGTAAAGAAAATCAACGCATTAATACAAAAGACCTCTAAAACAACAAAATGCATACATACCTGTCAAAGGAATCCCCTTTGACGACCTGCTATAACCCACTCATAACAGAATTTGTCAATTTTGGTACCATCATCCGTCAAAAAGCTTCTTTATTCATTCAAATTGCTGTTCGACATCCATTTCTTTAGAAGGATTTCTTTATGTTTAATTATAAGCTTGTGCTTTTCCAATATTAATACGCTTGGACAAGTACCTTACACTTTAACTTCTCTTTATTGTGAACTTCAGCAATCTGAATTTTTTGTTTAAGCATTAGAATTTTTCTATTTTGAACCACTTATACAATGAATGTGTCGCCCACTTTTCCACATAGACATCAGACTAATTGAATGGAACTTTGATCGGAAGCGAACGGTAAATTCCCGACCAACTCGGGAAAGTCCGTAATTGTCTGCCTCCCAATGTTGCCGTTTTCTGCTTCAGTTCAAACGTTGACAGTACGCATAGTAACAGATCTACCTTCTCGTCCAAACCATTGGTCAGTGATCTGACGCGTAGTAGCAAAACGGTGTTGTAGGGCTAGCTGTCTGAAGCGCCTATCTTGACGCTGTGTGGTACTCCTCGGTAGTCCAGTTGATCTTCTTCGTGCTCCTCTACTTCCTATCCACACATGACACACACCCATTACCGTCATTGCAGTACAATTAACACGGCGGCGAATTTCGCGGTAGGACAAACCATCTCAATAGGCAATAATTCTACCCCTGTCATCGCTAACATGGTGATAATTGGGACGTTTTCGAACTCTAGGCATTTTGTTATGCTTTACTCTAGTAAATGAAAGGGCAATAACTTAAAATATCTGTACTACTCAGCTCTCAGAAACTGCTTTCTTCACAAAAACTAAGAGATAACATTTTAACAAAGTAAACAAAGATGAGACGTTGACACTGTTGCAACAGCATGCGTTAAATATAGTCATTATGTTGCCAAAAAAACAAGGAAGAAATGATTTTTTCTGGGTGTAACACTTCTAATGTCACTGAGTATATATACTCCAGAGATTCCTCATCAACAATCCAGATTAAATTGTATGGCCCCTAATATACCGTATATTTTAGCGGTTATAACGATCGCGGCTACGGAGGTGGCGGTGCGAACGGCTATGGTGCCGACGGTGGGTATGGCGCTGCCGCTGGAGGCGGTTACGGAGCTTCAGCTGGTGGCTACGGGGGGGCAGCCGGAGCGGGCTACTCGACGGGCGGCGGCTACGGAGCGCCGGCTGCCGGTGGCTACGGCGCACCACAGGATGCCGGCGGCTACGGCAACGGCGCAGCCGATTATGGAGGAGGCTACGCGGGTGCGGCCGGAGGCCCAACTGCACCTGCTGCGAGAAGCGGATACGATTCGGCGTATCCACCGTTAGCCGGCGGAGGACAGAGAGGGTGAGTTACGATAAAATTACATTAATTAATTACAGGTGACGGGTGAAGGGGATTAGCAAGGAGGAGGTATTAGACAAGAGAAGACAGTCTAGGCGAATAAAATAAGGGATAGACTGGCCCTTGGGGTGTCCCAGCCTATGAGGGCAAACAAATTTTTGTTCGAATTGAGATACGCATACCCTCTAATTTTTCCCATTTGACTCTTAACAACTCGAAAAATAAATATTGCTATCGGGAAACGATAAGCCGTGTATGCATTTCAAAATCTAAATCTTATTCGACAAATGAAACACTGCTTTATTTGTATCGTATATTTCTTAGATATTTATCGTTAAAAGAACATTATTTACTATATTTTCTTTTCAAAGTTTTCTTTTTACAGTCAGGAGATGCCTGCCCGTGTTCTTCTACGCAACATAATAAAAACTGTTTTCGTTCCTCATCAGCAGTGATTAAGCCATTGAACTCTTGCATTAACTTGACTGCTCTTTTTGTCGTATCGTTAACTGCTCTCAGTGTTTGCACCTTATTTTTAGCGTGTTGAAAATAATCATTATGTGGTCATGAAGTTGGACACTCGTCGAGAAAACTGTCATCAATTTTGAGTGGACCGAACAAGGACTTGCTTTTGATTGAAACAGTCATCGAAATTTTCTTCTGAAATGAAAAAACGAAGGATAGCTACCATCTAAACGTACTGGTTTTATCCGTCCGACTGCAGATGGTAAACCATGGACAGATGTTTTATGCTTTTTTGGCAACTCATCAGCATCGTCTAGGCTTGGCCTTAGGTCAGGACAACGAACTAAACCATTGCACCTAACCTCTATCTGAGGTATAAGATCTATCGGAACAAGACAGTATAAGGTGCCATCTATTGCCCGAATCGCAGTTTATGCTGGCCTATTTTAACGGTTAGCATATTATATCGAAGCAGTAAAAGAAGGTAAAGGAAAATGTATTCTTCAGACTTGCCATAACGTGGTTCAAAAAGTTCTTCTTTCGATGGGATGTTTGCTGATAGACTTTCTTTGGGCAAGTTAGCACCAAGGTTTGCTTTAGTTTCCTCATCTATGTCGTAGTCAAACAGAGATAAGACAGAGATCTGATCTGTCAAATACCATAAATGTTGGCAAAACTTTTGTAAAGATGCTTTTGGAATGGTTTTGCCAATTCTTTCGTAAGCCTTAATTGCCTTTAAAAAGCATAAATCCCGGTTAGGTGCTTTCACCGCTAAAATGCATTGCAACCAATATTTCACGTATGTTGTTACGATGAACAGGCAGACATCTAACAGAGCTGCCTTATCCTTATTAGAAAATTTGGGCTGGGAACTTAGTAACACTATTTTTAATGAATAGATTGCTCCGGCCTTCCATCGAAGTTGATGCAAATCTATCCAAACTTGGTATAAGGTAACTAGTTTCTTAACACAGGTAGAGATTTTTTCGGTATTCGCGCCTTTTGTCAAAAAAATGCAGTGACGAATAGTAAGGTCTCATTGACTCTCTCTCTCTCTCTCTCTCTCTCTTTCTCTCTCTCTCTCTCCCTCTCTCTCTTTCTCTCTCCCTCCCTCTCTCTCTGTGTGTCTCTCTTGTCCATTAGAGGGAAGTTCTGAACCGGTAATTTGATGCTTTACGTCTCGTATTAAAAATATCCCCTTTTTAGAACTGCGTAATTCCTTCGACAGGTTGACTGAACGAAAACAGTGCCTCTATTAATAGAACAAACGAGCACTGCATTACATAGCTAGCGCGTGCTCAATACGGAAGTTTTGACATGTTCTAAAGCAACTCGGCACGGGTTGCCCTGGTTCTAGGTACATAAAACTTTATTTACAACTGTTTTGACATTGTTCAAGCAAAATTAGACTTTATGCGTTTTAAAAAAAGAAGTTTCATTTTTTTGGGACACCCTACTGGCCATATCAAAGTAATTAAAGGGGAGGATTGAATGAAATGATTGTTCAACCGTCTTGGCGAAATGTTAGGCATTTTTTATGTAATCCTAGGAGATATATTTTACATTCAAAATGTAAGTTGCGCGTTGATAAATATTTATGAGAGCGTGCCGATCACGGCAATAACATTTTAATGACTCTTCCACGTTAAATCGTTCTTCCCATATGATCCTCAGATACTACATTCAATCATATTTTAGCAGTCAGAAAATTAGACCGTGCTAGGGTGCTGCGTCAATCGCCTGAATACATTTACTAGTAGTGTGCAACATACAGGGTCCCAACGAAAAGGTCGCACCCCCATTTGTGACTCTCCTGGTATATTTTTGGAAAAACGCTCGGACACTTCAATTCTGATTTTTAGGGGGGCGTCTTTTTATATTACCCGTACAATACAGGGTGATCCAGAAATAAGATATTGCGCTACAGTTTAGAGTTCTAAATGGAAACCCCCATTTTTATAATTTTTATTTTCTCCATGAAATGTTTAGTGACCTTTGTATGGGTTAAGTTTATACCTATCTTAAATCGTTGTGAAGGTATTTGTGTTTCTAATAAAATTTGTAGAAATTGTGATAAGGGACTATACCGTAAAAATAATAATATAGTTCCCATAATAACAAGTATTTATTTCTCAGAGTATCAAAAAAACCTCCAGTTGGACAAGTTTTATCTTGTACAGGTATCTTGTACAGGTGAAATTTATTGTGTTTCAAAATTCTTTGTACTGCTGAGCATGTAAATAATGAAGAAATGGACCATCATATATTGTACGGCTATAGATGAAAAGACGTCCCCCTGGAAATAAAAATTGTCGTTTCCGAGCGTTTTTTCCAAAATATACCAGGAGAGTCGCAAATGGGGTTGCGACCTTTTCGTTGGCCGTTGACCATGATGCCTTATTTCTCTCCATGGGTAAATAATGAAAGCAAAAAAAAACATCTAGGTAAATATAAATAATTTCATTTGAAATTGTATCCTGTTAATTTCATTGTCATTTTGACAACTAAACTTACTATTCAAAAATATTTTAGAACGATTGAAAAATAAGTAATTTTCAGTATAGCTCCTCGTGCAATTATCTTTATTGAATACTCCCAATAATCGACATAATGTTTAAAAACGACTTTAGTATAATTTGTACCTTACTCCCCTGGGATGGACCAGTTCAAACCAAATCTGCCGGATGTTGCGTTGCGTTCATTGATTTGAGTTTGTTAGTTTGACGTCAGATATGTAGTTTTATCAGTAAAAAAAATCTATAAATACTTTGTCGGGAGAAGGCCATAATTGGTCTCGCGCAGTATATCTCTCAGCGCTACGCGACTCTGGTTATACATGTGCTGCCTTCTAATGATCCACTTTTCAAACATGGTATGTAGGTATGTAATATTGTACAAATTATTGTAGTGAACACGGAATAATGAATTTATGAATATAACAGTTTCGAAATATGTTCTGCAACTTGACAACACCGCACGGATTCTTCCTCCACTTATGCCCTCGGTTTGGCCGCTCACTTATACATAACTCTGTTTGTTGTAAAAGTGATAACCGGTATACTGATACATATCAATTTAAATGATAAACTCTGCGAAGATGACATACCACGCGGTTTCCTCTCTTGCTATACTTCCTCTTTAGTATTAGTGCAGCTTAGATAACAATCAGCTATGCAACTCTCGTGTCAGTGTCACAAATGGCCGCCATTTCGACTGAGAAAACCGAGAGTAAATTCCCCTAGTACAACGATGAAAGAGGTTTTAGTGCTCAACAGCAACCGGTGTTGCCACATATGCCAGCGGTCGCAGATATTATTTGTAATCGTAAAAATCGGTCTATACCGATATGATCTGGTATAGTTTGTGTGAACCAATAATAAGAAGGAATAAGTTTGTCCAAAAAGTACCAAAGTATGATGACTATTTTTTTATGAAAAAGTTTTAAAATAAATTCCTATCAGTGGAAGTATTTACAATAAACAGAAAAATATTTACTTTTGCCAGGCATTCTTTGGTGCTGCGATATTCTCAATCCATTCCGTTTTCAACGTAAACACTTTTAAAACACCGCAATCAAGCCTGACACTTCTGACGACTGCTCAGCTAGGATCCTTCTACATACACGGCGAGTTTTTTTTAAGTGTTAGCAGTAATAGAAGTTACAAAAATTGTAGGCAACTATGCGCTCCTTACTTGGAAAATATGTCGCTCTCCACAAGATGATTCATAATTACATGACATTTTTTTTTGAGTTTTTTTAAAATGAGCGAAGCCTAAAAAAATGTTGATGTACTCTATTGTGATTGAATAAAGGTTGTATTTATATGGTATTTTTAGCACTGCTTACACTGAAAATGCAATGGATTGCAACAGCGCAGAATACATAGCAAAACCAACTATTTTTCCGTTTATTGTGCATACTTCCACCATTACAAATTTATTTTGAAGCTTTTTCATAAATAAATAGCCATCCGTCTTTTCTTTTTGGACGAACATACTGCTTTTTATTATTGATGTACGAAAACTACACAAGATCTGTCGCAAAGTAAACAGGACTTTGAAATATTTCCGATACAAGTAGCGCCATCTATTATCGGAGACTAGCGTTGGATAGGTACATCTTCCATTGAGGCCTGACAAAATTTCGTGATAATCGAACCACTTCGCGCGGAGATATCGTGCTCAAAATGACAGTAGTTTTTCAGCATCCGTCGAAAAAAAAGCATTGAACAGAGATAAAAATTAAGTTCTGTGCGAAACTTGACAAAACATTTACGGAAACGCATCAGATCTATATGGTAATGATTGTTTATCTCGTAGCAGAGTCCACGAGTGGTTTACATGGTACAACAAGGGTCGTGAGTCGTTGGTAGATGAACATGTTGGCCAGCCCAAATGATCCAAAATCTTCATTCAGATACATAGAAATGGAATTAAATATCTCTAAAGATTCAATCCATCGCATTTTGACCAAGAATTTGGGCATGAGGTGTGTTCACGGTTTGTTCCGCACAAGCTCACGGATGACCAAAAATTGC